AAGAATGAATAGAAGGGCTTCATCTTTAAACAACCACCCTCGGTCTCCACATGGGTGGTGCCTATGTACTGGAAGAATTCATAGAAGGGCTTCATCTATCACCCGCGGTCTCCGCATGAGCGGAGGCCTATCAACGGACAAGTTTACATTGTACTATTTGATCTATAAATATTATATATATATATCGTTGAAATACCGATTTATGTAACCTTGACTCAGGCTGAATTACCGATTTATGTGCACATGTCTTGGAATGGATTTCTTCATGTGTTCCTATTTGTTTGCATCTTTTCGCATAAGAAAATACATTAAATACATATATCTAGGACTCTAGGAATCTCAAAACCCAATTCATTCCACTCAATTCTGACTACCATCAAAACCCATCCGTTTCAAGGGGCTGGTTAGTTTCCGTGATCAGCAAAAGACATCCTGAATGACTGACGATCTTGCCATGCAACTGACGAGCCAAAGTTGCTGTCAATTTGCAGGCCAGAATTCATCTTCTGACCTCTCATCAAATTGATGTCAAACAAAGCGATTCGGTTACCAAGCTCTACAGAATGTTTAAATATGCCAATGCCGTACTGTATGACCATTCTTTGTTCATGGTCCTGACAAAAAGGAATACCAATGTGCGGACGAGGCGCCATCTGCCATTGAGTTATCTATTGGTCGACGAGGGAGTGTATGGGAGCGAGCAGCATGCTGCCCGAAAAGGACAAACATGTCCTTGGCTGGATCTGGCAAGGCTTCCGATCATTTCCCCAAGATCTGGCAAGGCTTCCATGATTTGTTAGATGACAGGGACAGGGCAATCTCCGGGGCCACATCTTGGAATGAGCTCATCTTATTAGGCTCTGACCGATGCAAAACTGACCCGAGAAAGGCTCTGATGTCGATGGTGCCTCATATCCTTTTCCCAGCGTCCGACCCTTTTGGGGTCAAGCAGAATGGTCTTAAAAGCTGTGACTCAACCTGTCAAGCACTGCGATGACTGAACGGCGAATCATGGTCCCATCTTTCAAGTCCAAGTAGCTGCACTAGCTTTCACCTGCCAAGAGACATCAAATCCAACATCTGCGTTTCAAATCGGGTGAGGTTTCAAATCAAAACCTCCAAAGAATCCAAAGAATGAGTCATGTCTTCGAATCAGTGGCTTCATGTGGCTTCTATCTAAGTCTTCAGTGGCTGAAGCTCGCTGGCATGTGCCGGACGTCCTGATTCTCGCAGACTTGCAGACATTCTTAGGCATGTCCAATAAATGAACTCCCAAAACTCAAAACCTTTCGTCGCGGTCCAATCTTTCGATGGCTTGACCCGGTGGTGATGGCCCGGCGACATTTCGGTTCCAGGGGTGCGGCGAACTACGTATTCAAAGGATCTGAATGGGTTTCAAAGGTATTTGTTGGGATTACTTCACTGTTCAAGTAAACTATACTACGTAACTTACTGTACTATTATAGGCTTAGATCCAGGGTTACCCAACAGTTACCTAAGCGATCCTAAGCGTAACCCAATTCTGCCATGCTGCCATGCACCCCCGTGTCGGTGCCCCTGCGCACGCCTTGGGATCGGGGTCCACCCGCAGAACTTGCTGAGCTCGTTCAAAGGCTGAACGGACCGAAACTTGCGATCCAAGGGCATAGTAGAACCTCACATTGAAGCGAGTCAAGAGGCAGAACTTGATGGGCTTTATAGCTTAAGCTTTACCTTTCTCTTACCTCAAGGAACTGGAACGGGAAGACCTGTTTTGGAACGGCATCGCTTCTACGGGGCGGGTTTGTGTTTTGGATGTGAAGAACTCGTCGAGGTCTGCGTCCTTGGGCTTCGTTGGCCCTTTCGCTGTTGGGCTCGGAGATTGGCATGAAGCAACTCTGAAAAGATCGCAAATTCATGTGCTGTCAGTGATGTCAAGTGGCTGTTGGGTGAAAGCTGTGGCCTCGGAGACAGCAGCTTTCTTCGCAAAAACTGTCACTGTCGGAGAGAAACTGAGAAAGGACACGTTCAAAAGGCTCTGGTCTTTGTGCCACTCTGTGCCCCAAATACACACCTACATATACCCACATCAAGGTAGAACCTCCTTGGGCTCCAGCAGCAACATCATAGACTTTGCCTGTGGGAGCGAGCTGGCTCTGCTTTCCACCAAGGACGAAAAGCGACCAACGGGGCTGTTGGGAAAAGCATGGAACAACCATAGAGGTGATGGTTTGCTTCATGTCATGGCTTCTCCCAATCCTCTTCGCTGCCTCTTCGTAAGGCTTGAAGTGCTAAAGGCAAGCAGACCACAACATGTCTTGCGGGAAAAAGAAACGCTTGTCAATGACCAAGCCTCGTGTGGCAATGACCAAGCTGCATCCGGCTTCTACTAGAAGTGCTGCAAAGCTTTCCTGAGGTCAACCACCGCGGGGGAGAGACACGATCGAACTGTTCGACTGCATGTCTTCGCCCTACTCCGCCGGGAGGCGGAGGAGCATCCATTGATAAACACGAAGGATAGGCCCTCCAACTGCCTTGGTGCAACCCGCCATGGCAGTCAACCGAAAATAGAGCATAATCCTTGTCCAGCAAGCGATATAAATATAGGTATGCAAAGATACACTGTATAGGGATATTATAGAGGATCATATTTAATCTGAATATCATCTTGAGATTCTTGAGACCGTTTTTGCCAGGCCGCTGCCCGCCCAAGAGTTCCTCCAACTCTTGACGATAGAGGATGTGTGCACCTCCAAAATCATTCTCGAAAACAATGCCCACGTTCGTCTCCGCATTCACCACCTTATTGGAATGAACATAGGTCACATAGGCGCATAAATGGTTGAAGATCTGCAAGTTGGATGGAAATGCCACATGAAACTCTGATACTTGATGGCTCCCCGATAGTTTGTAGGCCGCACCTTTTTCATCGCACCGAAAAGGGCCGTTGTTAAAAGCTGAGCCCTCCACGTGTACTGATAAGTGGAGGATAATGCCTCCAGCTGACTGCGCGAGCGTGAGAAGTTGTGCGAATCTTTTCGTCGTCGCAGCGCCCACAGAAATGTTCCTGGCGCGGCAGCCGGATCACAAGAGCAAACAAATCCTAACCATCCACTCAGACCTATTTTTATCTGTTTTTTAAACGTGAGCAAAGGCTTCTACATCCGGATTGACCAAGAAATGGGTTCCATCTTGGTTCCATGATGCTCCCAGCTCTAAGCGCTGGACATGTGACAATTGGCCTTCCTGAGCGACTCTTGCAACAGGTCCACCTCCTTGGACCGTCAGGCGACACCGTGTCGCGAGCCGAAACCCGAGGTGCGAACGCGATCCTTTCCGTCTCAAGTCGTCAGTGCTCCACCGGTCTCTTCCTTTTTGCTCCACCGAGCGGCACCCTGGATATTGATCTGTGGGATGCGTTGATCAAGTGGTGAAGCCTCAGAGACCGTCAGCTGACGGCATGGCGTTGGATGTTAATCCACGTGCTGGTATGGCCAACATCATTTGGTATGAGTCGGCAAGCGGCATAGAGCACATGAAGCTCGGGTTCTGCACATCTCAAATCACCTGAGGTTCAAGGTTCAAGGTTCCGTTCGGCATGCCAAGACCAGTGAAGATTGCAGCTGAGCTTGTGACTCTCATTGTTTCCACCGGAACATACCTGCAGGATCAAGTCGAACACTGTCATTTATCTCACACGGAGGGCCAAGTGGCTGGGACCCTTGCCCTCTCTCTCTCTCTCTTTCTCTTGACTTTCAAGCCTTCCATCCCATCCAAAATCGAAGAAATGCTTACTTTCTGCCACGAATCTTCCGCCAACTAACAGCTAGCTATATTCCATCTCAACTCATCTCCACCTCTTCCACCCCGCCACCGACGCCGCGCCTCGCGCTTCTCCGGCGGCGAACGGCTCCGCTCTTTGGGACGACCTTCAAGGCAACGCCGCATCTCCGGAGCCGTCCGGTTTATCCTCAGGAAGTGACTGAAATAGGTCGGAGAACTAACTTCGGAGAACTATCGAACTGAACTATACTATAACCTATAGACTAACCTATAGTTCCTTTTTGGGGAGGGGGAGGGTGGAGCGCGGCGTTGAGTGTTTTTCCTTCCAATAAATTGAAAACCAAAGCAGAGGAAAGAGAGAGAAGTTGAAGCATCAAACCATCGCCAGGCTGCTTTGGATGACTTATAGACGTACAAGTGTTTAGGCTGACTACAGACTGGTATATTCTTGCATACATGCTGTTTGCTCTTGTGACAATGGAGATGGAACTGTGACACTGGTCGGTCAAGAGAAAAAATCCACCCGACTCCCAGCTGCATCCAAGCTTCTCTGGCACATTCCCTTCCCAATTTTTGTGTTTTTTCGAGATTTGTGATTTTTATGGTTTTTGATTTTTCGTCGCAGGAGGGCAAGAATTGAAGACGGACTTTGGCGTGCCGCAATCTTAACAGCAAACCACAGCGAAGTGAACAGTCTTCGAGATATACTATCTAAATCATGATTAATAATCTCTATATGCAACGTCATGACTCATGACATCGTCTTGCGCCAATCAACTTGTGCGGCGAACATCAGGGAAATCGCACAGGCGGCACGCCAAATATTCTGAGTCTAGTACAAGCTGGCCAGGCTTTTGCGGCCGCAGATCGAGAACGGCTGCGGAGAAATTGGCGTCGTTTCCATGAGCTTCACTGGAAGGAACAGGCAATCCCTTCTCAAGAACAAGTGATGGCAAAGGGAATGTCCTGCAAGCATGCAAGACCTTATATTATATGATCCTATCCTATATGTACAATTTTGGGAACCGGTTTGATTTCAGGAGGAGGGAGTGGAGTGCTATTTCACACATCATGCAACCGTTGCCGCAACCATACCGAACCCTTAGAGGATGCAAGCCAACATGATCCAACCTGCCACTCATCTAGGGTTAGGTCAAAACATAGGGCGATCTGCTTCCTGTTCAGCTTGGTGTGTCAAACTGACTGTTTCATCTCACAGCTCTCACCAAGTGTGAGACGAACGAGGCCATGTGCTTGTACTCGAGGCCTTTGCAAGCAGAACTCTGGTGGGGAACAACACGCAAAGTCCAAACAGGTCAGAAGAATAGTTGAAACATGTTGAAACCCGCGAATGAAAGGACTCTTCAGAACTCTTCATATACAATTGGTAGAAGCAACAGGATGAAGTTCAGGCTCCAACGACACCATTCACCTAGGCCCTCCTCCAGGTGTTCAACCTAGCATGGTTTTCCGATCAAGCGATGGTGACGAAAGCAGATCAAATCTTCCACGAACTGGCTCGGGTCCATCAGACCACTGCTGATGTGCCATGTGCCATGTGCTGCATGTGCTGCCAGCATCGACCCTCTCGTCTGCTACTCCCGGTGACGTATGCTCCAAACATCTCCTAACTAACCTCTGAGCAATAGACGATGTATAAAGGCCCGGCCTCGCAATACATCGTGACACGAAAACAATTAGTCTCGTCCGGAGCCTGTAGTTGAGTAACTGTAGTATGTGGACATCTGTAGGAAATCCCCAACTACTCTTGCTTCTACCCCAGCTACTGGACACCTGTAGTTTCTCAGTCAGCAAGCTTAGTTAGGAAGCATGAGGCCCTGCCTTCGACCTTTTCGCCATGAAGGCCCGGCGGAAGGATTCACAAAAACAAGTTGCAGTCCCTTCATGGGTGCAGTTGCGGAAGTCTGCGCTTTGAATAATTAAGGTTCTTGAAACCCAACAGCAGTTTGTAGCAACTGGATGCAAATGGCTTAGGGTCTATCATGCTGCACATGGTGTAGGATCCCAAATACCTAGTAAGCCCACCTGAAAATACTAATAGCTCTTGTGCTTGCAAACCCTTGCAGGGAACTGTTCACATGTCTATGTTTGCATTTTGAAGCCACCTGCCGCGCCATCAAACATCATGACCAACTCTAAACACTCGCGTTGGTCCTGTTTCCATCTGGAAACAGAGTTAGGCATCGTGCGGATAGTCCGACGAATTCAACTGCGACGTCTGAGGCACTTCACCAGGCACGCGGATCATGTTTGGGCGTAGTCTTCGCGGGCGTCACGTTGCGGATCATTCAGAAGGCACCCGACGGGGCGAGGACCGGGATGTTCGTCACGTTTCAGAGGCATTGGAAGGATCATAAAAGCGGGTTCCGCGTTGAGGTGATCATTGGATACCTTCTGAATAGGACTCTACTCCTGCAGTGCCACAATTAATGTCCACTTGGACAAGGAGCACTGTCATTGGCGAAAGACATTCAACATGAGGTCGTGCATGTCCGAATTTCTGAAATGCACTGCTCATTTCAATTTAAGCAGCTCGCGGTTTCTGACAAACTTGAAGTCGTGAAAAGCCCTCTCTTAGGCTCATTTAACTTCTATATGCGTGTAATTTTTTCCTAATGACAGGAGTGGTTCAGTTTCTGGCACGGAAGTGAATCTGTCAGAAACAGGGCAGGTCGAGACACTTGCTGTCACCATGGTTTCCGACATTGGAGTCTGGCAATCCAGTGACCCTCTATCTCCCCGTGGAGAGAAAGCCCACCGAGGAGCTGGAAGGACACACTGACCACCTGGAGTCTGGCGAGTCAAATCGGAAGAACGACGAGAACCAAAAGGGTTTTGGATCGATGGATATGGGTGTGTTTTTTATAGGGGGACCCCCAAACAATGGGGTTTGGTCTATTTCCCTTCTTTCAGGATCTTTCAGGGTGTCTTCGCGAGCCGTACTAAAGTTACACACCCATATCGGTGGGAGACATGTGGACCGAAGTTGGCCTTGGTGCAAATCATCAGATCTCGGCCTTGGCAAATGCCCCGGTGCCGTACCAAGTTTGCCGCACCAAGCGGGGTCATCTGAGGTCATCGCAAGATGCAACTGCGAAGAAGCATTGGCCCTCGCTAAATGAGATGCTACGTTTCGACATGAGGCTCTTTCTCCACCGGACACTGCGGAGAAAAGAGGCACGCTGAGAGCACCACTTGCATGGTAAAAAGTCAGGTCATTGCTGAATTCAGAATTAGACTTTCCTGGGCGAAAGCAGTCAGGGCAGGTGCCGATCGCCTCGATCGCCGTGGATCCGTTGAGCTGCCCGCTTGGCTTTAGATCGCCAAGGGATGATCGTCGTCCCCGTAGAGAAGGCTCCATTTGGACTCCTCAAGGAACTACCGTCTACGGTGCCGTTCTACGGTGCCGGGGTTGGAAAACAGCTGAAAACGGATCAAACAAGAACGGATGCATCGATCGATGCCGTATGCAATGCATATACGGACTGAAACAAAAAGTGATAAATCCTTGTAGGCATCCACAGAGGGCAGGGGCTGCAAGGGCGGAGTGTTGTTCACCTGTAGACATTGGCATGCATGAACCTCCGAAACGAAATCTTGGATCTTGAACTTGAACCCCAAGACATGTTTACTCATGTTTACCACCCAAAACCTGAAGACATCAAGACATATCAAGACCATTGCTTGGGCCAGTCAGTCAAATCGACCCAGTCAGTCCGACGGGTCGGTCCCACCTGGGTGATGAGAGCGCGATAGGCTCCCGTGTCCCGGAAAGCCAAACCTGAGAGGCGACGAAGAAGACAGGTGAAGACGACCCGAAGAACCGGAATACACCAATTCCGTTCAGAAATGAAGATGCCATGTGAAGATGCCATGTGAAGATGCCATGTCTAAATCTGCGCTCTGCTTCAACCAAACTCACAGCTCGGTGTGGACAGCTGGGGTCTCCTGCATAACGAGAGCCTCGGGCCCTGCGCCCACCTGCGCGGTTCGTGCGGTTTCGGCTCCGGCTCCGTTCGGCTCGGTTCGGCTCCCCACCTCAAGTCGGTGCAAAAGCCGGTGGTTTCCTGATGGCAAGCCGGTGGTATCAAAAAGACATTCACATTCACTGACACCTGATTCAAAAGATACCCACCCTGAGGTCATCCCTCAGCTGTTGCTGTTGAACTTGTGATTCCGATTTCCTCAGCTGCTCACCCATTTGGCGCTGTCACCGCTCGCCTCCACCGCGGCAGGCACGGAATTCGCACGGATCCGCACGGTTACGAGTACGGCGCGGCAGGGGCGGGGGCGGGGCTTTTCGGTGCCTCTTCAGTTCCACTTCCGCTTCTCCATTGACGAAAGAAAGCCAGCTGGCCACCTGGTGAAGCTTCAAAAAATATGGTGCGGCAAAAGAGCATCACAGAGTTCAGTCTTGACCAAGCCTTGTAGGTATAAACCCATTGCGCCCTGGCAGATACGACAATGCTGAATTTCAAGAGGACACAATCCAGAAACCACAATCCTTATGTTGGGAAGCCTTGAAATGAGATGTGCAAGAGTCTTCCCAGATAGGGCGACTTGCCTCAAAATAACGTTCCGTCCAATGTGATGAATGTTGTATAGATCTGCTTTATTATCTGCTTTGTTATACTTTGTCAGCATTTGGTTCATGCTCACTCTTGATATGTGTCACGTGTCAGAGAACCATCAAACACCACACATCCACCGCTACCCCCCCCCCAAACCATCCCAAACCCGTCGAGCCGTGGGCCTCGAAACGACGACCCGGAGGCGCTGGTGGAAGCAGGTGGATGTACCTGCGAAATCGCTCCATAAGCCGGCCCCCCCCCATCCGGTGAATCGGGTTCCATCGCTGATCTGCTTCGTGCCATCGAACATGTGGAACTGGACTGAAGGAAGGTATTTTTATATAGGGTTACACTCAACCAATGGGTTTAGGGCATGTTTGGGTCTATCTTCCTTTTTCAAGGGGTCTTTGGGAGGTCTCGGTGAGGTCTTCCTATTTTTATACACACCCTAAATACAATAGCCATGCAACATGTAGACACACAATACTGCAGGCAAGGCATGGAGGAGTGTGGCAAGGCATGGGGTACTTCGATGCGTCGTTCTTTTCTTTGGGGGACACTCTTTCTCTAGCTCTGAGAAGTGTGTGCTGGGGTTGGAACAATCTTTCTTTGGAGTGTGCTGGGGTTGGGTACTCGTTCGCTCTGAGAAGTTAAGAATAAGTTGTTTTCCATGGTTGTTGCGGTGACCGGCACCGACTGACCGCACTGTGGGCACTGGCGTTCTCGGCGCGCCGAGACTCTGTTTCTTTTCGCGGCCTCGTCTGGTTGCAAACCGTTGTCACGCCGACAGGAGCTGCAATGTCTGGTATTCTGGATGAGTTGCGGCACTCCATCTTTGAAAGTGCTCATCACATTTGATGGTTGTGCCGTCGGACTTCGCCAGCACAAAGATCTGTGGACGCCTCTTGGCAGTAATGGGAGGCCAGGCTTTGGAGAGGAGCAACCGCTCAAAGCCGTCGACCTGTGCGATACAGTGATAACCTGGCACCTCAGGATATTCTGAGATTAAGCGGTCGAAGCCTGCATTGCTCAATGCCTCTACTGACAAACCTTCCTCCTTGGAGTACTGCCAGTTTGGTCGCTCTTCTAGAAAGCGAGAGACACCAGAGATGGCAGCCAAGTTTCCAATGTGAATGGACAGTGGTGCTGAGGCTTTCTCGATGGAATGAAGACCTGCCATTGCAACACCTCCAGGGTAGTTGCCAAACGATGCCCAACTCATGACACAGGTCCCAAGGAAACTCCCGCTGCAGAGGCCAGCAATGGCCAACTGCCAAAGAGGCTTGAGCCATTTGAACCGACAGACCCTTGCAGCTGTCGAAGCTGCTGCTGCGTTCAATAATGGGAGTGCGGGGAAAATAAAGCGTAGCTCTTTGTGCGGCAAGAAAGAATAGAGCAAAATAAATGCCCCTGCCACCCAAACAAGCATGCGGGCCCTTGGCTCAACAAGCACTGCCAGAGCCGCCAAGGGAAAACTGCCCAAGAGTGCTCTTGGTAAAGCAGAATAGAAGTACCACAAGAATGGCTCAGTCCCCCATTCTGACGACTTGTTCTCCGCCGTATTGAACCAAAGCACTTCGAACTCTGGCCAAAGCCAACGCTGCCATAGTACGGAGTCCACGGAAATCGACAAAAGTGCACCGGCCAAAGCTGCCAACGCTGTCACAACTGCAGCTTTCAGAAACTGCACTCGTCTTTGCCAAAGGAGTAACAGGCCGACGGGAGCTATCAACACTAGCAAGTCACATCGAAAGATCGCAGCTGCCAAGCTCAATAGAACTAAGCATGTGTATGCGGATCTTTCTGTCCCTTTGACAAACTCGGCATGTGCAAGTGTGGCAATCTGAAGTGCAAAGACATCCGGCAAGGTGCGACTCATGTAGAAGGGCAAGTGGAATTGTGTGATGGTCAACAAGGCAAACACACGACCCACCGTCACTCCCCATTCAGCCGTGAGCACCGCACGGAAACGTGCGTGAGCCAGGACCGAGAGGCTTCCCACGACCAGTCGCACCACTCGGAGTAGAGCTGGATTGCTGAGGCCCACCGAGATGGGAAAGGCGATCCACGAGGCGACCAAAGCACCCAGGAAGCTGCGGGGGACTGCGCCAGGGAATTGTAAATGATCCCACTGCTGAATGTTTCGTCCATGCAGCAAGCTGTCATGGCATGCCTGTAGGTTAAAGCTTTCCTCCACCTTGGTGAAGGGGCTCAGGAACACGTGGCCAGCCATGACGAGCCATAGCAATCCGTCCCAAAGCAGCTCCG